GGCCGCCGGGCGGGGGGGAGGGAGAGAGAGAGAGAGAGAGAGAGAGAGAGTGCTATGCAGGGGAAAGCTGTGCATCCACTCTCAGCTGCTAAAACCCAGTTAGGGTTTCACCCATGAAAAGGGAAGAAACAACTAAGCTGCCAAACACCCACTGGGCCCTTTTGGGAGGTGAGGTGGCCATTGACCAGGATTCCCTTTTCTGGCTGTATTTCCTTCAGGGGATGGCTGGAGATCCCTGTAAGGTGGCTGGGCTGTAGGACTGGGAGGCTGCCCCTGCTTCAGGACTCAAAGCCTACTTCTTGTCTCTATTTGGTTTCTAAATTCTCTGGCTTCACCCCTGCCTGCTGTTCCCCAGTGTATGCTGCTCTACCCATGAGGGCCTTGCTGGCCTCTTCATCAGGATGGCTGTGATACTTGAGGACTCTTTGTTCCCTTTCCCCATGACTGCTCAGATGTCACTTCCCAAACTATCTTCACCTCCAAATACCCAACACTCTGGTGGCTGGCTCTTTGCTCATCTCATGAGCTCTGAGATCCGGTGTGTGTATGAATGTGTGCATGAGCACATGAGTGTGTGGGTGTGTATGTATGTGTGTGCATGTGGAGGCTTGAGGACAATCTCTGGTATCATTCCTGAATAATGTTGACATTATTTTAAGATAGGGTCTCTCATTGGCTAAGAGCAGTGGTTTTCAACCTGTGGGTCTTGACCCCTTTGGAGGTTGAATGACCCTTTCACAGGGGTTGCCTAAGACCATTGGAAAACACATATATTTACATTATGATACATAACAGTAGCAAAATTATAGCTATGAAGTAACAATGAAAATAATTTTATGGTTGGGAGTCAACACAACATTAGGAACTGTATTAAGGGTCACAGTATTAGGAAGGTTGAGAATCACTGGCTTAGAGCTTACCAGTTAGGCTAACATGGTGAACCAATGAGCCCAGGATCTACCTGGCTTTGTCTCTCCAGTGTTGGAGACCTGGCCCTTCCTAAAGGCCAGCCCATGAATGACTTTCCCAGAAGGGCTATTCCTTTCTTCCTGATGTCCTACCAACCAAACTCTTAGAGCAGAGGAAACAGTCTTCAGAAAGTCCTCCTTCACCTACCCTGTTGAATGGAGCACAGAGCTCAGACATTCACACACACAGGGTCATAGCTCTCATGGCTTTCTCCTTCCTGTTCATACAGCATCTACCTGTGTGCCAGAAGCTGAGGGAGGCCCCAAGGTCCTGAAGTCTCCTTAAACCTCTTCCTTTCACATGTTAAAGAAGAGAGGGTTTGATATCAACAGGCTTCATTGTAATATGGGCCCAAACATGTGCCAGGTCCCCAGAAAAGCCGTTACTCACTGGACCTTCAATTACTGCTACTTGCAGGTTGGGAAGGCCTTATCAGGCCTCACAGGTCTCTATATTTACTGACAAGCAGTGCTGAACAGACTGCATGCTTGATTATGTCACAGTCATGACCACAGAGAGCAGATAACTCACTGGCCTAGAGGTTGCACAGGTGTAGTGTTCTAACCCAGGTTTGGTCAGCCCTCAGAATACAGTGCACCTGGAGGCAGAAATGGTGTATGGAGGTGGCCAGTGGCCTTACCTCGCTGGAGTCCTCTTGCTGGTTGATGACAGTCAGGGCATCCTCTGAGGCCTGCCGCTTGGCCTCAGCCAGGGCTCGTTCCATCTTGGCACGCTCTGTGGTGATGAGTTCATGGGCTTTGCGCTCTGCATCAGACACAGCTTTCTGTAGTTCTGACATCGCCTGGCGCTTCACCTCATTCACGGCTTCTTCTGTGAAGCACAGAGGTGGGCTTGTGGTCACACTGGCCAGCAGTCACCCAGGCTAACTTACCTGGGGTTCTGGACCCTCTACACTCACAACTTGGGTAGGAGCCTAAATGCAGCTGTATGCACACACGCCTACCATACATTGCATGTGTGCACATAAAGGCACACATCAGTGATCCCATACCTTTGCTAACAGGTTTGTGGATGAAGTGTTTATCTAATTATTCTCTATTAATAAAAACTTGGGAGTCAGCTCTTGGCCTAGATACACGGGGAAGGGTCTAGGCCCTGCTCCAGGGGATGTGACAGACTTTGAGGATCTTTCATGGAGGGGCTCACCCCCCCTCCCTGGGGAGGGAACCGAGATTGACATGTAAAAGAAGCTTGTTTCAATTAAAAATATATATAAAATAAATAACTTGGGAGTCAGATATTGGAGTAAGAACCAAGAAGATCAGAGAAATGGCAGAGAAGTGACCAGTGACCTCTTTTTCTCTTTCCTAAGTCCAAAAGGCTGAGCATGTCCCTAAGCCCCTCTCTACTACTTCCTGTGTCTTTCTATATGTCCTGGGTCCTCTAAAATCTCTATGTCTAATTTTGGTCAGCTAGTAGCTAGCTCTGCTGTCTGATCCAAGGTGAAGTTTATTGGCAGTCTCGGGAGTGTCAGAATATGATCAAAATATCCCACAACATGTGGATGAATGTGTGTCCTGGGCATGTGTGCAAACCCTGGTCAAGAGGAACAGAGAGAGCTATGGGTAAACTTTCCAAAGCTCAACCTGCACCTGCTAGTGTCATGGTTCTCACACTGGTGTGCATATTTAGTGGGTGAGGGCTAGTCCCCACCCCAGGATTCTGTTCTAACAGGCTCAGGCAAACCGCTGCTATGAAGGACCTGCTTTAAGGACAACAGGTCTGCTCCTTGGCTATGTTTGGGCCTATCCAAGGGGAGCCAGAAGGGGACTATGTGAACTTTGGCTGTAAGTACCTGATTCATATTTCATATTCTCTCTCTCTCTCTCTCTCTCTCTCTCTCTCTCTCTCTGAATTTTGTGTACGCCCCTATGTGTGTGTAGCTCAAACTTGTGTAAATCTACAAACTTGCTGCATGTGGAATCCATCTGAGTCACAGACACTTCTTATGGTTGTCCCCAGGTCTGTTCCTGTAGCCTTACTCACCAGCCTTCCTCCAGATCTCCTCAGGCATATAGCCAGAGAGGGTCCTGGGCATGAAATCCCGGTGCACATCTGAAAAAAAAAGGGATAGGGGTACAGTGTCATACATAAGATGGGGGCATTGGTTGCCTTGTTCCACACTGGGTTCCTTTCCACTCTGGTCAGGACTTGAAGGCAAGGACCATTTTTTCCTGGGAAAGGGGGGATTGGGGTGGCATGCTCTATAGCCAGTGAACACGGATTCAGGCTGGGAACAAGGCATGTCCTAGACCTCCCCTAGTCTCTGTGGTCACCACTGTGTGGATGGGTAAATAGAAGCCCCTAAGTGCCACCTCCTAAGCTTGGCCTGTACCTACTAGAACCTGGGACATTTTTCTGCAAGTGAAAAAGGCCCCCTTTTCTAAGTGATGCTATCTGTTTAAGTAAGTTCTGACTGTTGGCTACCTTTCTGGGAGAATTAGTGACATCCTACAGAGACTGTGTAGGGCTACCAACCCCTCACTACAGGTCTTCCATGTTCTTTTTGGTACATACCTAGCTGAGACCCCTCAGGGCCACTGCAGCTGTTGAGGGGCCTGGCTGAGGTGGGAGTGGGGCCCTTCTTCCCTTCCTCGGAGTCACTGTAGCACCGGATCCAGTGGTTGAGTTCTTCACGGTCAGCCTCCTGGCACCGGCGCAGCACAGTGAGGGATCGTCGTGTCTTCTCCACCATATCCATGATGCAATTCAGGAGCTGCAGGTGGGTGGCAGGGCCTTCAGTACGTTGGAACCGGGGCTGTGGCCAGATGTGGCCATCCAACATGGAGGGGATGGTCAGGGAGCCAGCTCATCATCCCTGAAGGCAGGGCACAGAAATCTACCTTGGCTCCCCACAAACAGTGAATGGCTCCTAGTGCCTATGGGCACCCAACTTGAATGGGAACTTCTTTGGATGCAGGGTAGAGGTTTGGGGGTGTTCCTTTGAAACTCTGAGAGCAATCTGCCTTGGGAACATTCCCAAGAAAGAAGCAGGTAAGGGATATATACTTCAGGGTACACGGTGGTCAGAGGAATGGAGACACAGTCCACTTGGCCTGACCAGGGGCTCAGGCACCTACCATAAAGATGTCCTACACCACTGGGGCTCTACTCTGCAAGAGTCTCTGAACAGGAAATAGTAGAGATGAGGAAGGGCCTGTCTGCATGGTTCAGCATCCTTGTCTCTGTTCTCTCACAGCACCCTGATAGGTCGGCAATAGACAATGATGCTCCCATAAAGGGACATGCAGACAGCAGGCACTTGATAGGTCTTGCCAGGAGATGCTGAACCCAGAGGAGTCCAGACTCAGTGTTGCTCCCCACCCCCAGCCTTAGGATCCAGAGTTGGGCAGACACTCTGGAAATCACAGGGGCCCAGTAACCCCACCTGGACACTCACACTGTTGAGGTGTTTCCACTCTTCTGCCCACTCACGTTCTGTGAGCCTATGGTCAATCACTTCTTCTTGTCGAGACCCAGGCATGGCTGAAGAAAGGGCAATACACATTTAGGCCCCCATGCAGATGCCATGCCCCACCCCTGCTCATAACTAAGCCCTGACTTGGATCTCAGGTCCTGCCTCTACTCCCAGGTGCCTCCTACTTCCTAAGTATCATTCCTATCTCAGGGCACCAGGAACAGGATAAAGCACTTGTCATCCCTGGTTCTGCCCTGACCATTCATTCCCTCCCTACTGCCCTTATAATCTAGCTACTCTTGTTTTTTCTATGCCTATTTCTGATAGGCAGCTCTAGATCCACTTAAAGGGTCTGTTTTATCATGATCCAGAAACCTCAGGGCCTCTGTGCAGCTGCTCAACTTGTGTATGTTTATGACTTCCTCTCAAATATCTGTACTCCTATGCATTCCTCAAAGTCCAGTCCACAGGGCCCCTCTACAGCTGCAGACTCTTTGGAATTCCTCAGGCCATATGTGTCTCTGGTCTCTAGGTATAAGACTTCCCTGTTTATTCTAACCCCCGAGACTGTCAGCTCCATGAAGAAAGATGGTGTGTTGTGTTTACCTCTGGGTCCCCAGGCTGAACTCTGGCCTGGTGCTTACCAGCCCTGAGTGTGATGTTGGGATCAGATCTACTGACAGCAGGGTCAGATAAAGTAGCAAGCCAGGATGGCTCGTTCTCCCATGGGATTCTGGGGCCCTTATCTTGCCACTCTCTACCTCAATTTCCTGACCCTGCCTAGTTCTTAACATAGTGGGTAGTTAGAAAGATCCCAAGATGACCTGGTAAGCTTGGGGGGCTGTGTCCCCAGGCAGGGCTTGGTGCTAAGCACTGTTACTTTCTTTCTGCTCTGACGTTGGAGGGAAGGTCCATCTTTCCCATATTACAGATGAGGAAACTGAGGCTGGTGAAGCGTCGTGTCTGTCCATAGTTACCAGGCAGGAAATGGGGGAGGCAGTGTATGGTGTAAGGCCAGCCTGTATCTGTGACCTTGGGGATGGCCAAATGGGATGGGGCAGGGTGTGAGTTGTTACTGACTGGGACATGAGGGGCATGATGGATCTCTCTTGGTTTTCCTGCAATGTCAAATACTCCAGTGTAGTAACTGAGGCTATGCAGGTGACCCAGTGCCAGTCCAGGCTTCCTGGGGGCAAAGTCTCTCTTTAAACCTGCCACCAGTGCCTAAGGACCTCATAGTACCCTAACCTGAAATGCCTTCCTCGAGTTGCAGAAGGGTAGGGAGTGGCCATAGCCGTCATCCAGCACTCTCTCTGGTTGCCCACGAGGGGCCTGTGCCAACGCCCCAACTAAAATAGAGGCTGAGATCTGTGCGACAGCTGGCGTTTATTTTTGCATTAGCAGAAGCGGGTGGGAATTAGCACCTGCCTGACCCGGCTGTGGTGAGCCAGACACTGTCACCTGCTGCCTAGGCCCAGGCCCTGGAAGCTTCCACAGTGTGATGGGGTAGAGAGAGGCCTCTGCTGACCCAGCTCTGGGACCCTATAGGTGTCCTGAGTGACCCTGGATGGTCATTTCTAGCATTCCCTTCCAACACACTGGGGTGTAGTCTGGTTGGGCTAGGCAGGTGTTGCTGTAACCATCCATGGCTGTCCCATTTGTATTCTTTGTGCCTCGGTTTCCGTGGAGGTGCGAGTACAGGCTGAGAAATGACAGAGTGCATGTGCTCTGTGTCAGCTGCTGTCCCTGTCATCAACAACTGGGGTTTGAAGCGCACTGTGTGTCAGGTGCTCTATCAATGCCCCTGTACTCACACAACTGTTCTGACAGAGGGAGAAACTGAGGCACAGTACAGTCACATGACCCATTTCTGGATTCAAGGAAAGCCAGGCAGCCCTGGTGGTAGCCTTGCCCTCAGCTCCTCAGGCCTTAGGCTGCCCAGCCCAGGAGGGTGGTAAAGGCTGGTCCCTAGGATAGTGTCCTCTGCACTAGTGCTATTCTGTGTGTGAGAAGGGGCAACTTGGTTCTGAAGGTGCATGTCAGGCTACCTGGGTACTGGGGTGGCTACTGGCTTCTTACACCTATTTCCTTCCTGGACAGATGAGGTGCTGATTATAGCTTCAGTACCTTCCACTAGAACATAGGTACAAGCAGCTTCTGACTGAGCCCCTAAACAAATGCATTTAACTCTAATACAGACACATGCAGACTTATACACTCAGGCAGGCTTGCAGACACATGGGTTCACACACTCTCTGTATCCATACCTCATAGGATCAATGACATTCTCACACCACTTACCAAGGGGCCGATGGCGCTCCCGCAGCTCTCGGGGATCAGGATGTCGGTAGGAGTCCCGGAAGTGGTGGGCCATGGCCATGTCCTCGAGGCGATAGTGTGGGGGTGGGGGTGGTGTAGGGTGGGGCAACCCATTGCTGGGACTGCAGCGCTGGGCAGGGCTCAGGGTGCAGGACCGCTTACTGAGGTGGTCGGGGTGCAGAGGGTCCCGGTCTGACCCATTCTCTTTGGTCCTGATCAAGAAAACAAATGGCCAATGGATATCAGCCTCAGTCTTGGACAGAGGGTAATAACAGAGGTGAGGAGAGCAGATAGAGTGGAGGCAGAAACTCAGAGGAACCCCATTGGGTTGTGGTCCCCCACTCTGGGACTCTTTGTGGAGAATGGAGAGAGGGAGATACCCAGGGTCCCATGGCCAGGTGTGGTCCCCACTGTAGAACAGTGGTAGGACCAGTACCTCTGTGGCCAGTCAAGGGGTTCAGTCCAGCTCAGTCACCATGGGCCCTAGGCTCCAGGTCATTCAGGGTCTACAAATAGCACACACACAAAAAATGAGTTCTGGTGGATAGACTCCTTCCTGAGCTGCTGTCCTCCAGGGATCCCAGAGACCCTGGGTCTATGGCTCAAATAGGGTAGTGTAAGTTGCAAAACCCAGTGTCACCAACCCACCTACCTGCCCCTGAAACATGCAGCAGTACTAGCAGTCCTTCTGTAGACAACAGACTAAAGCAGATGTCTGGCAGAGCTGTGGCAGAGGCAGATGGGCAGGAAGAGGCAGCCTTGTGTTATCTCCCTGTCCTGTGAATTTGTGAAAGGCTGTTACCTGTCAGGTGTTCTCCTCTTGCCATTCTCATTGACTTCCAGCAGGAGCTCAGAAGAGTCGACAGGGGAGGTGGCACTGGCATCCAGAAGCAGTTGTTCATGCTGGGCCAGGTATTGGGCAGGCGTCTGCTTGGCCAGGCGGGCACAGTGCAGGAGCTCTCGCTGCAGCAGTGGAAGATTAGCCTGTGGGCAGGACAGGGACTTTAGGTGCACGGTTGACTGTCAGCTGGTATGCAAACCCATATAACCTGTTCAGACCAGTAGACAGCCCAGGGCTGCCTCTGTGTGACTCAGGGCTCTGGATCCCTCAGGTTCCTTGTTCTTTCCCATGGCATTGTGGGAAGTGATAGGCCTGTGTCTTCCTAGACACACAGCAATATATGAACTTTGTATATCACCATGCTTTACTCCCAGTCTGCAGCCAACATTCTCTCCCTGTACCCTGTGTAAGCAGGCACCATACTGACCTTGGCACAGAGAAGGAAAGCAAGGTTCAGAAATAACGAACAGATGCCTGGGAAAGCACACACACACACACACACACACACACACACACACACACACTCGCGCACACACACATACATGCACGTGCAGTAGCAGGGTAAACAGAGGTGCTGCAGGGTCTCCTAACACTGCTGCAGGGTCTCCGCTCTGGTCCCCAAAATCCACTGGCCAGAAGCCCCACAGAACCATCCCCTCTCTTCCCACCACCTCCTACTTTCTAGCCTCAGCCTAGAACAAAGCTCACAGCAGGACCTCAGGCATCAGTGTATGCCTTCTGCAGCCATGCAGCTCTGAGCACACGGGGAATATGACCCGCATGAGCCCCAGCCTCAGTTATGACATCATAACTCGATTCTGCATTAGAAGATGAGGCCACCAGAGCTCATAGACTCCATCTCTAAACCTCTGAATTTCACCCTAGTGCTGGGCCAGGGTCTCCAGGCACTGCTGGTGGTCAGCCTTTCCAGAGCTGCCGTGGGTAGGGTGGCAGGCTGGCCCTGAGCATGCTGGGCAGGGGCCCAGTGGCAGGCTCTTTGGAGAGCCAGCAGTTCTAAGTATTTGTAAATAAACACACTCCACAACTTTCCCATGTGCTTCAAAGCTGCCAGGGCAGCCTTCTCCAGCCTCTGCCTCCTCAGTCCCTGTTGGCGCATCCACCCGGCCCATCAGGCAGCCGATGCATTTTTGTTGAGCTGTGTGGCTGCCAAGCCTGTTTTTCTGTTTGGATAGCTGAACGGGGGCCAGCTCACCATCTGCCGACCACGTCAGAAGCATGAGCTGGGATGAGGTCCTGGGAGGTCTCAGTAGCCCAGAGTCTCCTCCCTCACCAGTCCCCCACCCACCCTGTCCTCTCCTTGGCTAGCATGGTGGGGTGGGGGCTGGGCATGAGCACCATCTGGTTGCTGTTAGGGTGGGGAAACATCTGGGGTTCTGGCCAGCTGGGGCCATCTGGGAGCTGCAGCCTTGGGTGGGGCAGCTTCTGAAAAGCCCCACTGTCCAGTTCCATGAGGGCGGATGCAGGATAGAGTGGAGGGAACCTAGGTATCAGGTAGGCTAGTATCTGAACAGTACAGATACACAGCAGCCCTTGGCTCGGGGTACAGGAGCACTGTTCACCCAGAAAGAACAAGTCCCCATTCTTCTTCAAAAGTCGGAGACATCATTCAGAGGACACACTAGGCTGGTCACTGGGTACCCTGGGCCCCAACTTCACTTGACATGGAGATTTTGATGTCCAGAAAAACCTAAACCATTTTTCTCCTCAATGGGACTCTGGGAGAGGATACATGGTACACAGAGAACCACCACGGTGACAGCTAAGCCATGAGTCTTTTTTATGCTTTGCTCTACAGAGCCCTTCCACCACAGGCTGCCCAACTGAAGACCTGGCGGACCACTAACCCTGGTTGGGCTACTGAGGAGTTGTATGACCTTGGGAAGTCACACAACTGCCTCCTGCCTCATCTGTAACTGGAAGCCCTGGTGTGATAGGCTCTAGTGAGCCCCATGTGAATTAACTCACTTCTTCCTATCACCTGTGTGGCAGGCAGTTTTGTCTTGCCTAGGAAAGGACCCAAGAGAGCCCTGTAGTTAGAGCCAAACTCTGCCCAGCCACACCTTCAGAACAGTTTCTTCTTAGAATGGCATCTCAAGAGGTGGTCATGAGAAGCACTGCAGAAGCCAGGAGGTCCATGACAATTCAGGAAGGTGCTAGACTGGCTCTCTGACCAGCCAAGAGGGGACCCTATCCAGTGAGGGCAGTGAAGCACCTGGAGCTGCCTGAGCTCTTCCTCTGTTTCTAGACCACTGGTGCTGGGCTCCTACCCTGCTGTACCAGCAAAGTAGTCATGCCCTTTGACTGGGCAGAGTGGGCCAGTGCTCTGGCTCTTGTCTTGGCAACAAGGTTAGAAGGATTGGCTGGAACCTCACACTTTTAGGCTTTACCTTTGGATCTTACTGTCTCTTACCCCAGGAGTTCTGTATCATGGAGACAGATGTACCACCGGTGCTCCTAACAATAAGGCACAGAGATCTTGGGTGAGCTATGAGGTGGGCAGAGAGAAATCAAAATGGAGAGGGTCCCTTGACAAAGCAGTGCTGGACAAGGTGTCCTTCCCAGTACTTGCTTTGGGTGATGCCATACTAGGTTAGGTAGGAAGGGTACTGAGGGTAAGGACTATGGGCAGTGGAAGCTGGGATATTCCAGGCATAAACAGGGTGGCCAATGCTACCAAGCATCTGCTGTAAACACTGGCTCTGACAAAATAAGCAGGCGCATGGCATCCCAAAGACAGGCGGTGGCAGAGTCAGCAATATGTGGAGGGTGAGGAGAATGAGAGCCTCCAACGCACTGCAAATGACTGCCAGATGGGCCCACGCGCTGGCACCCGTGGCTTCTCTGTTGTCACTAGCTCCAGTGTGAGCCCAGCAAGGTGTGGGTGGGAGGGAGGAGGGGAGTGGACAGGGGGTGTCATGTGGGGTCCACCTGGGAGGCGCCAGGAGGAATGAGGATGGTGGGACATGTACTGTGAATTTTGTGGGGACTTTGAACTATATAAGACCCAAGCTCAAACCCAGCCTTGGATCTCTACCAGATGGAAAAGTGAGGGTTTCAGTTTTTCTGCCTACTAACTTGACAGTGTCAGGGCCTGTGTGTCCCCTTCCACGGGGTCAACAAGTTATCTGTGTAGAGATCTTTATAATCCATTCTTGGTCTAAATTGGGCAGTTAAAAACTTGCTGATGTAACTACCCTGAGAGAATGGAGGACTCCAGCTACAGGGGCTGAGTAGAGGAGTGGGGCCAGCCTAGTGACTGCCAGGTAGCCAGGTAGGGGCTCACATCTTGGAGCTTACCCCTTGTGTGGTCTGACCTTGAACTTTGACTAAAGAAGAACACAGACATGCAGGAAGCATAACCTGGGATTATAGCTATAAGTGGAGGTGAGTGTCCTAGGGTGTGGGCATGCTAGGATCTCTCTGAGAGGTCTAAGTGGAAAGAGATCACATGGCCTAACACATTTGGAAGCATGCCATTCTCACACCTCTCAGAGTGAAGGGCTGTAGTGTGTCACAGGCCCTACATGAGGGCCTGGCTTATTCCCAGTGTGTGTGTACATACAGATTACCAGATTTTACAATCCTGTGTCTCACTAAGCCTGGTGGTGCATACCTGCAACCCCAACTACGGGATAATGAGGCAGGAAGACAAAGAGTTCAAGGCCATCCTGGGAAACTTAGAAAGGGTTAAAGCTGTAGTAGCTCATCAGTAGAACACTTGCATGTACAAGACTGTGTTTAACCCCAGCACTGAAAACAACAAAACCACGAAACCACAAAACCCAACCAAACAAAAACCAACCCAACCCCCGCCCCCCAAACAAATGTAGCTTCTCATCTGAGGGTTTGGGCTGGGGTGAGGAATCTGCCTTGCTTGGGGGCTCTGGTTACTTTGCTAAAGGGACCCAGTGCAATGTCATCACTCATTCATGCAGCTCTAGTCCCAAATTTGTGTCCTGTGTTTAGCACAGCATCTTCTATTTGACTGCTTCCGTTACCCTGCTGTCCAGTCACATGCCTGCCTGTCCATCACCTGGTCACTGCCCTCTGCACACCTATTCCTTCACTCTATTCCAGCCACACGGACAGTTGCTGCTCCTCCCTCCCCAGGGCCTTTGTATACACTAGCCCTGTTTCTTGGAGGGCACTGCCCAAGCCTTCTCCAGCCTGCTCAGTCATCATAAAATACCCATCTTTGATGGATTTGGAAATATTTCCTTACTGTACACATTTCCAAATCCTACCTAGTTGGCAGCACTCTCTTCCCACGAGATTATTTCTTTAGGGGGCTTTGTCTACCTGTCATGTTATCCCGAGCCTTGCACAGCCTCTGGCATGGAGTGGGCAACTAAAAAAAATCTGCTGAGGGATGAGAATACACTGTTTCTGTGGCTGACTCATGATGGCTAGCAACTAGTTTATAGCCTTAACTAGTCAGATCTGGTGGTCAGCACCATTTTCCTGGGCAGCTGAGAATGATGCCTGGAAGGGGGGGGGATTGGGGACTGGGACCTCTCAGGGAGCCCCCAGGTAGGATGGATTTGGTTACCTTCAGAAAGGGGATGACGAATGGCCGCAGTGGGAAGTTGGTGGCTTCTTGGAGCTTGGAATGAAATTCTTCAATCGTCAGAGTTGAGTTCTGCAGGAGAGAACACCCCACTTAAAGGTTCCCATGGACTATCTGAACCAGCTGCCCCACCTCCATCCCAGCAAGGAGGAGACTCTGGGTCTGGCCTGAGGGATGAGGAGAGCATAATGAAGTTGTAGACACAACGATGGAGCCCATGGCAGAGAGGCTGTCATGGGAAACACAGGTGCCTGATAGCCCGGAGACTCACCACCAGCCCCAGCACCAGTGTGCGTACACGCTCCCCAATCTCAGGCGAGATGTCACTGCCAAACTGCTGCAGGGTGGTGAGGAAACGCTTGAGCTTGCTGAGCTGCCGTGCCCCACATGCCGGGGGCAGGTGCTGTGTGGACAGTGAGGCAGTAGATGAGGTGGCTGGGCCATTGCTGAAGCCATTGGGTGTAGATGGGGCACCATGGATGGCTGTGGGTGAGTGGCTGCTGCCGTTCATCACTGCAGGAGAACAGCGAGTGTTAGGGCAACGCATAATAATTGCACTTTACGATTATAAGTACACATGGTGACAATGATAACAATGACCCAAATGACAATGATGATGAGAGTAGAGTCCAGAGCAGCCATGCCCAGTACACTACACAGCTGCCATTTTATCCTTGTAACCATACTGTGCTCATGGGTGTTATACTCTTATAGATATGCAAACTGGTACTGGGGGGGGGGCGACTCCCTTTACCTCAGGTACCACAGTCAGGAAGGAGGGTGGTAGGGCTCACGCTGGAATTAGCTGCAGAGACAGACATTTGTGGGGCTGGCTTACAGTGACCCTGGGGGCTTACCCTGGGCCTGAGACCTTCATACCAGCCAATATTCTAGGTTCTTCACATGCAGCAGATGCCCAGTCCATCCTACCAGACTGGCTCAGGTTACCACTATGAGCAAGCACGGGACCTCTTCACCCATGGTACAGGACATGAGAAGTCACCCTATCACCCCAAGAAAAGGCCAGTAACTCTGCCTTTGCTGTAACAGTCTCAAGCAATACCCTCTACCGGATCTCTTTCCCACCTCTGAGCAATGCCCCAACTCTCCTTAGCCCTAAGCACTGTCCTGGGAGCTTCTCCAACCTTGAGGACCCTGAGCCTCTCTAAGCCCCAGTGGGACTTAGATCAGGCAGAGTGACTGAGACCCCTCAGGAGGAGCTGATTCAGAGGATTTTGACACAGAAGGCTGTGTCCAGGGGCTAGTTCATGCTGAGGACAATCAGGTGACTAAGAAGACATTTGATAAGTATGCTACAGGATCATGGCTGCCAGTCACTGTGCCATGGCTGACTAGATGGCCCTGCCATCAACTCCGAGTATCCGGGCCAAGGCCAGGGGTTGCCACAGAGTGCTTTGCCTCTCAGCCCTGAGTGACAAAGGTATGATTAGCAGAGTCTGCAGACAGATCAGAGTTCACAGGTCATGAATGCTACCTCTGTATATAGATAGATGCTCATACACCTCTGGCTCACTCAACTGTTGATTTTTGTTCTTGTTTTATGCCCCTAACCTCAGGGATGCACCACTGTCTCCTGCCTTGACTGAGTGTGCAGAAGCCAGGTTCTCAGGCCTGCGCTGAGAGTGTAGGTCTGGAGTGCCCTCAAGACCACAGTCCCCAAGGCTCCAGCTGTCTCATTCCACCTGTGGTGAGGCCTGGTAGCACTATACGTGCCAAGGGAGAGAGGGATCCCTTTTTCTAGACTGAAGATCCCTCCAGCTTGCCCAGTTCAGAGACTCCAGATGAGTTTCCCGAGGTTATCCTCTTGCTTCAGGCATGGGTACCTCAATATGTCACTCTAGACTGCACCTGCCTGGACATCTTGACCCAAGCACTGGGAGGTGGCCTAAGGGCTGGGCACGGAAAGGTGAGGTGGGCCTTTACCTAAGTCCCTCCTTCCTAGCCCTCAAATCTCTATGGCTTCTATGGCTCTTGCAGGACTCTGTTGCACCTCTGCTCACACTACAGGACTTAGGACCTAATCCTATTTGGCCAGTCTTAGAGTTTCTGTCTCCCCTATGGGCCCTACATAGCCCTCTCTTGCTAACTAGTATAGTGACCAGCTCTATCTTGCCCAGATACTGCCTGAGATTCCCACCCAGATAAACCACCTGGGGCTAGGGCTGGTGGTTCCACACAAGCATGCTCTAGAGCCACAAAAGCAGACAGGGCCACTAAGGCCCTGGGATAAAAAGTTCATCAGTAGACCCAGCTGGGGGCCCCCAACTGTCTGATCCTTCTACATGAGTATAAGGCAGTACCCAGTCCAGAGCTGTTATGGTATGGTGTGGGTGTGGCTGCTGTTATATTCCCCTTGGAGTATACCCCTCCCCATTTCCCTGTCCTCACCTCCAGCCTGACAGTCACCTGATATAGGACTCTCACAGGTCCTCAGACACCCCCATATCATAAACACTTGAGGGTTGGGAGAGCAGCACCAGTCAAGATAAACAATGTAGGCCAACCTAGGTCTCTCTGCCAATGGTACCAAGCCACTCTGAAGTTCTGAGGTGAGCTCTAAGATCACAGCATAATCATCTTCCTTGTTTCCCAACCCATGGTTTATATGGAGTCTGCATATGCCTCCAACTGACCTGGGAGCTGGCCCTCATGAGATCACAACCCTGACAGACTCTACATGTTGGGTGTTATGCGAGGTACCCCTCAACAGCTGCTCCCAAGGGATAGAAGTTTCAGAGCATGTGGGGAAAGAAAGGCAGGCTCACATGCTACCTTGGTGTTTTTATGCTGCCACCAGGCATGGAACCCTCTGCATTCAGTTCTAAGCAGCTCCTCTGTCCTAGTGGGGGAGCATGCACGTGGAAACTGAAGTCTTTCCATTGTTTCCCCAAACGATCTCAAGAGTCCATTCCAGTTCCAGAATGACTGTATGCTAGTAGAAGCATGTCAGGGTAAGTCTGTGCGTGGGAGCACCCTTCTTGCTCTGGGGTGGTCAGTGATGTCTGCACACAGCATAGCAACAGCTCTGGGTCCTAGCCTCTCTAAGACCAAGCCCAGAGGACCCCACTGGGTGGACTTCCCTCTCACTAGTAAGTTCTGACAGCCACTGACACACATGCCCCAGTCAAACCTAATGACAGCCACTTGCTGCCACCTCAGCCAGACCAGGAGATGGCTTGTTGCCACGGAGACCTCACTAATAGAGGTGGACTTGTGTCTTAAGATCAAGCGTTTTATCACAAGGGCTCTGGTCCTTTTAGTGACTTCTAATACATGCCAATGTCCACATCATCTAGTCCACCACCCACCAGACCCAGCCTGGCCTGGTCCTGTCCTCCCTGAGGCCCGCTTACCAGCCTTGCTCTGAGCTCCTGGGTCCCCGGTGGCCTGTTCGCCTCACTGCCTGTCTGTCTTCCCTCCCGCGGCTGCCGGGCAGTCTCAGCAGCTAAAGAGACGCCAAAAATAGCCCCCAGCACAAGTGTTTTCATTACCACAACAGGTGTGTTACTAAGTTAGACTGCACACGTGTCCTCGGCTGATGTTTGGGGGCACAAACTAGCACCCCCCTAGCCTTGATGCTTGGGTGGGAGTTGGCCTGGGTGCATGGACCCTGCTAACAGCTCTTTCACTCTTTCTCCCTGACAAAGAGAACACCATAATCACCACAACAAGAATCAGTCAACAGTTGATGGCCAGTCAGGCTGTCTGCCAGGCCCTAGTGTGTGGCCAAGCATGGCACAGAATGATGGCAGCAAGAAAGACAACATAGAACATAAATAACACATGTAACCTCTTCCTTATTCTTAGAGAAGTTACATGGCAGCTGCACACACCTGAGAGATACGGCTAATTGGCCCAGTTAAGACTGCTGAGGCATAGTAACACCTGATGATGGGGGCAAATATTCTGAATGTCACCCAGAGCTTTGGTGGAATCATCCACTAGTGACTGATGCCCACAGGGCATGTGGTGTGGGTCAGACATGGAAACAAGGCTTTGCCAGCATGGTGCATGAATCACCTTCAGCACTCCACACTGTGGCAGTATCTCTTTACAGGTGGGGAAACTGAGGCACAGGCAACTATACCTGCCCATCGTTACCCTGTCAACAGTGGGAGCCAGATTCTCTTGAAACAGTGGAGCTTGACTTGCCATTGACAAATGTCCCACTGTCCCCTCACAGTCCTGGCATCTGCTCCAGTCAGCCTATTTGGCTGTTGGGGATGAAGCTCAAGAGGCATTCACATGCACAGGTCTCACAGTTCCAGCACAATGTGAGGGGTCTCAGTCTCTAGCCCTTAGGCCCCTGGGCCTCTCTTGTCTTTAAGTTGGCTGGAGATCCAACAAAGGGAGTGTAGAGGCATCGAGAAGGACCCAGGTGGCCTCCTTAAAGCCCATGGTTCTTGTTATTTTACTTACAGAGACAGACCATGGACCACTTTAAGCAGCCGTGGAAACGGCCGTGGGGCAGAGACGTCGCAGGCCCATCCTCGCCATCTGTAAGCAAAATAAGAAGAACACGCTGTCAGGAGGGCGCCGCAGCGGCCCGTCCCCTCTGCTGCTGAGTGGCAATCCTAGAGATCATGCTGTTGCCATTGGGGGTCAGTCCACTCTTCTGAGTCTTAGTTTCCTCCTCTGCAAAAATAACAGTTGCACTGGATATCTGTCAGCATGAGCAGAGCACCTACCTCCTAAAAGCTAACCCCCCCTCCTAGGAAGTGCCTGGTTACCCCCTCAGCACTGTCCTTAAGGGACTTGGGGCTCAAGCTGTGTGTTTTCAGTTACTGAGATTCAAGTCTGAGGTACTTGAGGTAGGGTTGTCAGTGGAGACAGACAGTAGCTCTAGGAGTAGTGAGCCCCCTGTCTCAGAAGCAGACAAGGGCAGACGGGAGCTCAACCCACCTAGGAACTCCCTGCCTAAGAGGAATGTAGTCTAGGTCAATGCTTCTTGCTCTGTCCCAGGTCTCCACACTCATCCTCCTGCCCATTTCCCCAGCCGGAGACCAATCTGTGCCCAGGGTGGTCACTGGGCCAGGAAAACCACAGCCCTCAAGTAGAGGTTCAAGGTCAGTTTCTTCATTTGGCTTGAAGCACTGGGCAGGAATCTGCAGCTGGCTGCAGAGGCTTTACCAG